GGGGCTACGTTTGAACCGACTCAATGCACGGGCTCCCTCAGGCATGGCTGAGCGGCTCAGCAGGCCTGCAGAGAGACCCCCTTCTTGGATATCAAGACCCCATAGGCTTCCTTGCTGCCCAAACTCTCAGACCGGGGGCTGGGAATTAGAAGTGTAGTCTAAATCCAGGGAGGGGTCCCTGGGAGTAGCTAATAGGGGAGGCACAGGCAAGCGACAGAAAGAGGGAACCTAGAGAAAAAGATGGAAAGGTTGAGACAAAGAAGAGTGAAGACAGCAAAAAGAGTCGCAGAAGCTAGGAGTTCCGCCGGTCTAGGGCCGCAGGCTCAGGGATCCTGGGAACGCTTGGGCTCTGGCTGGAGCCGAGGGCCTGGGGCAGGGCTGGGAAAAGCCGTGGGCGGGAGGCCGCCGGGTCCCAGGGGAGGGCGGAGGCTGGGGGACCGGATGCCAGGGTCCTGCAGACGGCTCCCTCCCCCGCCGAAGACTGTGCGCTGGGGCGCTGGCCCTGAGCCCTAGATCCCCCTCCAGCCGGTTCCTCCGCGACCCGATCACTGGCCCCACACCTACAGCCTCCCAGCGCCTTCCCACACTCCTCCAGCCCCCAACTCCCGCCGGCGCTACGACTAGCCCCCCGCCGGCACGCCCCCTCATTGTTCAGCGGCGGCAGCGCCGCCCCCTCCCCCAGTCCACCAGGGCCCCTCGCCTCCCCCCTCACCTCCCCGGGAGCCACCAGCCCCGGACCGAGGCAGCCAGCTTCCTATTCGACCCTAACGCTGTCCCCGGGGAGGTCCGGAGCCTGGACTCAGAACTTCGGGCTCTAGGAACCAGAATCCGAGGGCTCACTGAAAGTGGAGTCCAGCAGTCCAAATTTCTCGGTGTCCTAAGTAGGGGATGCTAGAAGCCTCGATTTTGGAGTCTCAGATGGAGGCGCTGGGGACCCAAATTCCTGAGTCTTCTAGGTAGGGCTGAGGTGGTGGGAGGCGGTTTCTCAAGTTGCCCTAACTCTAGGAGCAGGGATTAAATCATCGCCAGGCAGGAGCTCAGGAGGGTCCCAAATTCCTGGGTCCCTTCCAGTAGTCGACGCTGCTTCCAAAAACAGATTGGTTGGAGCGCTAGAGGTATGGATCTCAAGTTCCTCCAACCCGGGGGTCTTGGATTGGATTTCTGGGAATCCCTGGAGGGAATCTGTGGTCATGAGTTCTTCAAACCGCGGTGCGGGACGCTCGGTTTCCAGGGTCCTACTGGGTGGATATCCCGTACTCCCGGTTCCTCCAGGAGGGGGCGCTGGGCACTTGGATATCTGAAGTCTTCTAACTTGGGCACAGGGTCCTGGACTTTGGCGTTCCTGAAGATGGGATGGAGAAATTCCGGGCACCAGGCCCGAGACTTTGGACCCTCCAGCCTCGGGAAGGGTGGGATGGGGCTCCTGTGATCACAGTGGCATCACTTCTGGGGAAGGAAAGTTCAGTCCTAGCTGTGGAGCGGGGAGCGGTCGCCGGTAGCTTCTCCTCCCCCATCCCCCGGCCTCCGGGACTCACATCCTGTTCCCGCCTGCGGGGGGGAGGGGCCACCTTTCTGCAGGCCCGCAAGCAAAGGGTTAAGATTACTCCTCCCCTTTCTGAATATTCATGAGGAGGTGAGTCCCTAGGCAGGCTACTCCCCAACATTCCAAGTGCCTCGCGTACTTTTCCCTTTTACAGCAAGGGCCTGCTAGGCGTGAGAATCCGGAACTGTTCACACACCCTCTCCTATTGGTCAACTAAAAAATTTTTATTTGCATATGCAACACAAGGCGGAGCTGTCCAGTGAGGTCACGTGGCTGTGAACAACTGAAGTAGTCTGCAGAGCGAGGGTGCGGCCGGAGCTCCAGTGGCGCAATCGGTTAGCGCGCGGTACTTATATGACAGTGCGAGCGGAGCGATGCCGAGGTTGTGAGTTCGATCCTCACCTGGAGCAATTTTGGTTACTTACCACTTTTCCCAAACTTAGATGTTTTATAAATCCACCAAAATACCTAAGACACTTAAAGGAAGGAGCATTTCTATCTTCTGAATTTTCAGGCTCTAAAGAGTCCTGGGGCTTTGGTCACAGTTGATTAGGTAATCAGATTGTGGGACGGTGCCACTGTTTCCGTCCTAGCCGCTAGAGGGTGGTATCACCTTTTATTAGCCGCTGCCTTGGGCATTGAATCTCAGTTCAAGGCTTTTGTAGAGATGTGTTTGTCAGGCAAATTGTACATATAGTACCTTTTTCTTCATATTTTTCTGTCTTGGAGTTTTCAAACTCCCGTGGAAAAGGAAAATTACTTTTCCTCTCTGTTTCTGAATCGGCATTCCTCCCCTCCCCTCCTCCCCCATCAAGTAGTGAATACTATGTGCCTGGCTCTTTTTAGATGTGGATAACACAGCAGTGAACAAAGTAGTCCCTTGTCCCTGAGGACTTGATATTCTAGTGGGAAAGCAGATTGGTATGGACATAAGAATTAAGTATATTTTATTTTAGGTCGTAATAAACGTTATGGGGAAAGTAAAGCAGGAAGGATGGGAGCGTTGGAGACAGAGTATGGGGGGAAGGAGGCTGTAATAATAGTGGTCAGGGACAATCTCACTGACAAAGCAACATTTGAGCAGAGACCTGAAGAGGAGGGTGCGCCACACGGTCACTGGGGGTGTGCTAGGCAGCAGGAACAACTAGCAGAAAGGCCCTGGAACTGAAGCATGCCCGAGCAGACTTGGTGGAGCAGTTTGGAAGCCGGTGTGACCAGAGCAGAGGGGGAAGGTAGGAGCCAGGCTGTGTGGACTGTGTGGAGGACTTTGGACTTTTTTATGTGACCTGAATTAGGTCTCCTAACAGGTTTCCTTTGGTTGCCTTGTGGCGTGACTGGGAGAAGGGGGGGGTCACTTGCTTTGAAAGTCCAACTGGTAGATGGTGGTGCTTAGGACTAGGGTGAGAGTCATAGGAGTTGGGGACCAGAGAGTGGACTGTAGATCTATTTTATTTTTAAAGGATGGGGGTCTTGTTCTGTCACTGAGGCTAATGTGCAGTGGGGTGATCATATCTCACTGCAGCTTTGAATCCCTGGGCTCCAGAGATCCTCCCACTCAGCCTCCTGAGTAGTTAGTGCTATAGGCAGATGGGGGTGTGCACCTTTATTTTGTTTAGACATGGCAGGGGTGGGAGGTATCTCACTATGCTGCCCCGGCTGGTCTCAAACTCCTAGCTTTAAGTAATCCTCCTGCCTCACCGGCTGGTCAGTCTATTTTAAGGATGGATCAGACAGGGATCAGACAGGATTGCTATTGGCTTCGCTTGTGGATTTGAGAGGGAGAAGTCAAGGGGACTACCAGGAATGTTGCCTGAGCATAGGTGCCATTTTCTTACATGAGAGGTGTGTGGGATTTTTTGTTTGTTGTTTTTTAAGGGCAGAGACTCAGTTTGACAAAAGAACCATGGACGCCTCTTTCGGTATCCAAGTTTTTTTTTTTTTTTTTTAAGGACAGAGACTCAGTTTGACGAAAGGACCATAGACGCCTCTTTCTTGTTGTTCTTTCAGTGTCCAAGTGTGTTTCTGCAAATGTTCCTGCATTGTTTGCTCTTGATGTCTGCTTCTACAAAGCCTTTGGGTTTCTGTCTCTCCTAACCCACAAGGGAGAAAGATTCCTAGAAGGGGAGACCAAGGGTCAGAGTATGCCAGTGTTTAAGGGAGAGTATGCCAAGGAGACAGGCGAGGGCAAGGGAGGTTTGAGGACGGGAAAAGGGAAGCGAGAGAGGAGGAGGTAGGGGTTGGGGGAGGGGAAAGGCCAATGGGGAGTGAGAAGGCAGGGAAAGGGTGGAGAGGAAAGAAGGACCGTGGAAAAGAGAACAGAAGGAAGACTGCAAGAAGATATAAGGGAGAGAGGCAGGCGTGGCTGGAAGGCAGAGGGAGAGAAAAAACTGGGGATGGGTCGAGTTGGAGGGGGAGAGAAGAACAGAAGGCAAGAGGGTAGGGAGGGGCAGGAGGGTGAAAAGAGGAGGAAGTGAGGAGGAGTAGGAGGGGTGAGGGTGGAGAAAGGAGAGGAGGGGGAAGCAGCCGGGGGGAGGAGGAGAGGGAAAGGGGGAAGGAGAAGAGGGTTAAGGGGGAAAAGGAGGCCGGGCGATGGGGGCAGGGTGTAGGCGCTGACGCAGGGCCGCTTCCGGGCGCGGGGCTCCCCGCAGCCCCGGGGGCGGTGCCCAGCGGCTCTAGCCTTGTATGGTCCGAGGATGAGGCTTCCTCTGGCCTCGCCTGGATGGATGCGCCACCTCGATCCTCATACACTGGTTTTGCGAGGCCAACTCGGGTTGGAGACCGAGGCCAGGAGCTTCCAAGAGTCGGTAATTCCGAACTTCTGGAATCCCAACAGGCCACGATGCTGTAATTCCGAGATTCTAGGGTCCTGGAACGGCCGTAGTCTACAATTCTTAAGACACCAAGCGTCAGATTCTAAATCGCCTAGAGACTTGAGATTCTAAATCTTGAGGCTTTAAAGCCTCCTTTCTCAACATTCCAAAAAAGTCTAAATCCCCCCCCCCCCATTCTCGAGTCCTGAAAGGCCCCATTCAGCGACTCCAAGACGGCGGAGTTAGCAAACTGGCCCGCCCCCTGCATCGCCAGTCGCCCCCGCCCGCCTGGGCTCGCTCGCCGGCACATTCCGTCCTCCCCATTCGGTCTCTCCCGCCTCCCTCGGTCCCGAGGGGACGGAAACATCCGTCCCCGCCCGCTCCCGCGCCCTGGGTCAAGGAACCCGACTGGACGTGAGCATATCGCCCCAGACGCTCGGAACTAGCTCTCCCGGTTCCTACCTAATGACCTCACCTGGCCCCGCCTTCTCAGGTCACTTCCTGCCAGGTAAGCGCCGCGAAGGGGCTCAGTCTGGGAAGGGTTAGGCGGAATCGATTGACTCTACCTAGCTTCAAAAGTCACACCATTCTCTCCTCTCTTCTCACAGCCTCGAAACAGAGGAAAAGCCAAGATTCCAGTTTAATCGCAGATTCCTTTTATTTAAAAATTCAAAAAAAAAAAAACAACACAAAAATAGACATTTAAGGTAACAATATATATTACTTAATATATTATTATAGCATACTTATAATATTATACCATTGTTTTCAACATTACAAAAAAGAAGAAGAAAAAATACAAGGGAAGCAGACAACCCAATATATATAAATACTATAAAATCTTATTAGAATAAATAAAGTCGTCATAAATAAAGGGCCCATTGTTTTGGAGGAGGGATTTGGCAACGGCTTTGGCTACTTCCTTTTGGAGGGAAATATGAGCACCAGGATTCCCCCTCAGAGAAGGTTCCAGTCAAAGTGACTGGAACCTTAAGTCTGGGAAAAATTGGAAAGGGGCATTGAGGGCCTATTATTCACAGCACATAAGATTCCAGGAGACAGATTTGGGCAGGGGAGAGATGCAGGGAGAGGGCTCACTGCCTCCCTCAAATATGCTACATTTTTTTTTAAAGGACCCCAGAAAATACTCATCCCCTAACACCATGAACACTGAGCTTCACACTGAGGACCTGCCCCAGCGTGGGTCAGAGGGAATAGGTTAATGCAATTTGGAAGGAGGACTACTTCATTAAGAATCCCCCAGGTCCCCTTAGCCCCAGGGCCCACGCAGAGCCCAGGGTACAAGACAAGTGGCTCCCCTAAAGATCCAGCTGATCTGTACTGGGCAGGCGCTTGTCACTCAGAAACAGAGATTCGATTGAAAATGGGGAGTCTTCGGGCGGCTGCAGGTGGCTGGGGTGGCCCAAAAACCCCCACCTCAAAGACGGGCGAGTCAGATCCCCCCAAGCTGCTGCCACTGCTGGCATATTCATCAGGGTCAGATCCCAGGGAGTGTGCAGAGGGGCTCCGAGCCAGGCCACCCAAGGGCCCCCAGATACTGCCTGGAGTGGCCCTTCGGCAGGAGGGACAACAGGCTGGGGTGGGGTCTCTTCTTGCCACAGGAGTTCCAGGGGCAGCAGAGAATGCAGAAGGTGAAAGTGGAAGGTCCCCAGGTGGTGGTGGGGAGCTGGAGGGTGAGAAGGAGCATGAGGACAGGGAAGGGCCTGCCAGGCCAGCTGGTGGTGGTGAGGTTCGGCGGCCTGAGGGCAGGCCAGAGAAGCTGATACTCTGGCGCAGCATATGAGGTTGGCCTGGGGCGGCCAGGTCCTCGCTGGGGTTGTGGATGAAGTGGCAGCGTGAGCCGTAGGGGCATCGGCCCTGGAGGTAGAACTTGTGGCAGAGTTCGGTCTTGTACTTGGGGTGGCGATTGGCCTGGCGCAGCTCACCTAGGCCATGGGCAAACTGGCACTTGGCTCCATAGCGGCAGCGACCACTCTCAGAGAAGGTCCGACATAGCTCTGTCTTGTAGCGGGAGGAAGTGGCGGGAGTCGAGGTAGGCGAGGTGGGTGAGGGCGACAGTTCAGGGCCTGAACGGGGCACCAGGGGTGCAAAGCCAGGGGGTGGAGGCACCCAGCCACAGCTGCGGCCCTCCACCAAGCTGGTAGAACGGCCAGGCAGGCGAGAGGGGACCCCAGACGAGCTGCTGTCCGATGAGCTCAGGCTCCAGAGTCCCGAGGAGCCCCTGCCTGGGCTGGACTCTCCGTGGTCGGATGGTATTTCAGGGCTCAGCGACAGGAGGCTCTGCAGGAATAGGGGTTGGTTAAAACAACTGAAAATACAACACAACGCTCAGCCCCAGCTGCTGGGCACTTAAAGAGCTTGCTAGTCCAGTTTGTGGGCTCTCAGTTTGAGCCCTACCCTCTCTCAGAAATCCCCTGGGTTCTGGATCTCAGGGCTCCCGACTTGGAGGTACTGATTTTATCTAGTGAAGCCTGAAGCCTATCCCGAAAGACCCAGGAATCCTGGGTTCCCCAATTGAATAAAGAAGGGGCCCCCAATTCAGGGCACACCACTGTGTCCCAATTGTGAGCCTATGGGCCACCCCGGATATGACACGCGCCACAGGTTCTCCTCCAGTTTCACAACAGGAGGAGCTGGGCAAAGTTTACCCAGGAGTCTGGATCTCCTCGGCTTTAGAGTTCCCAAAGAACTACGGTCAGGGAATGGAGAGGCAGAAGTCAATGGATTCCCCCACCCTGAGACTTCAGCCCCAGGTACGCCTCCGCAGAAAACCGCACCCTCAGCAACTACCAGGCGTAAGCCAGGTGTGGGGGCCATTTCCGTCTGCTGACAGCCCTAGTCTGAGAAAAGTCCTCTGGCTTTCCATCCCCAGGAGCCACCCCACCAATGTTTGGCCAAGATCTGGGAGTGGCGGGCTCCGTTTTCATCTCTAGGTAATGATTATTAGGCTGGCCTGAGAAGGGAAGCAGGGGCCCCCAACCGAGAGTGCGGCGCGAAGGAGCCCCAGTTTCAGAAGCGAGGCAAGCATCCCGGGCCAGAGTTGTCGGTGTCAGAAAGCTACGGAAACAGGCGTTAAGATCCCGGAGGTGCCGGAGGACAAGTACTCACCTCGTAGATGGCAGTGAGATCCATAGTGGCACGGGTGGCCATGAAAAGGTCGGCCGCGAGTCGGAGCGCTGAAACCAGGCTGTGGCTGGCAGGCAGAACCAGCTTCTTATAGGGCCGGGGGGCGTGCCCCAGGGGCGTGGCCAGGAGGGGCGCTTCCCGGACGCACGCCCCCGGAGCAGCCCTGCGGGCCCTGGACAAGTTCCCTTCCGCCCGGCCCGGTGCCAGGACGCGCCTGAGCTTGGCCCACGGATGGCTGCGATTCGGCGGGGAGTGCCCAGTTTTCAAGTCTGGAGACTGACGCACGGAGAAGGGAACTAGGACCGTCAGGGGCAACTGACAAGGGCAGAGGCCCCAGGGCGTGCGCGTGCCAGACAGACCGCCACGGGGCGGAGGTGGGGGGAGATACCCAGAGTGGACGAGAAAGAGATGTGGAGAGAAGCAGAGAGAAAAACACAGAGGAAGGGAGAAACAGACGGCAAGGGAGACGGAAAATAGGCTGAGGGAGGAGAGGTGGGCAAAGACAGTTCCAGAGAGACAAATTCAGAAAGGGGAAGCAGGACTGAAGGGTCACATAAACACACATGAGAAAAATAGAAACAAACCCCACAGAAAGATAGGAATCCACAGGAGCAAAAAGCATAGGAGACCCACAGGCCTTGGAGGGGAATTCTCTGCGACCTGCTGGCCTTGGGCGATCTGACTCTCAGGAGCCTTGGATCACCTTCCCTGGCGCTACTCGGCAGGGGTTGGGTGGATTGGGGTCCTGGATCCCGGCTGCCTCTAGAATGGGGCCTATTTGTAAATCACAGGGCCACTGTCCCCTCACCCTCATGCAGATAATGGCAGTCTGAGCTCTTCCTCTGGGCTGGGCATGCTTCTAAGTGCTTTAAATACATTAACTCAGTCCTCACCACAAGGCAACAGAGATATTAATGCCCATTTAGCATAGGAAACCGAGATCAAGTTACTCTCCTTCCAGCTAGTGTGAATGGCAGCGGCTTAATATAGTGGCCTTGAATGATGTTAAGAGGTTTGCCACGGCCAGCCGGTAGCTCACACCTGTAATCCCAGCACTCTAGGAGGCCAAGGAGGGTGGATTGCTCGAGCTCACAAGTTCGAGACCAGCCTGACCCAGAGACCGCCCCCTACCTCCAGTCTCTAAAAATAGCCAGGGTTGTGTCGGACGCCTGAAGCCCTAGCTACTACTCAGGAGGCTGAGGCAGAATCACTTGAGCCTAGGAGTTTGAGGTTGCTGTGTGAAAGGACACTACAGCGCTTTACCCAGGGTGACAAAGGGACACTCTGTCTCCAAAAAAAGAGGTTTACCCTCTGAGATAACTCAAGATTGGAAAGAGGGAGGTCTTTTATTATGGTGGAAGGCAGTTGCCTTGATGGAAAGGTGTTATAAGATGGAAGAATAGATCATCTCCAACTGATGATTCTTTTAAAACGGGCTGTGCCCTTCTCACACTAGCAAATCTTTTCTTATCAAAGGATTGTCCTAAGTGAAAACCGTTAAGATCTGGGAAGAAAGTTTACTTTTTAAGGGGTCTTGGTGCGCTGGCCACCTTGAGTGAAAATATTGGGGGCAGAAATGGTGGAAAGTTCATTCTTAAAGGCAGCGGCTACAGGCTTTTGGTATTAAGGTGGGGGAGATTTTGCCAGGTTCCGAGCCGACTTTCCCCGTCCAAGACCGGGGGGAATCCCTGGCAAGGCGCTTTCTGGGGCCGAGGGGCCTTCCCGAGCCGGTCCCGTGAGCTGGGCGGGCCGCGGGAGGCTCTGGCACGGTTGCGGCCTCTCGCTCGCCCGTGACTCACTAGCAAGGGGCGGGGGGGGGGGGCTTCCTGGAAGCCGTGACGAGGAGCTCAACCCGGACACCCGGGTTCCTCTCCTGTAACCAGGGCTCCCGTCTTCTGTAAACAGAGCCTCGAGTACAACAGGAAAAGTGGGGGGGGGACGGAGGGGGACCTGCCTCCTGGTCGGGCTCCCAATCTTGGGCCGCTTGTAGAACTAAGGCAGAAAATGGGAGTGAGGGGCACCTTGGGGTCCTCGGAGCTCATCTCTGGTAGCGACCCTGAAAAAAGGATTCCAGTTTCAATTCCCAGGACACAGGGAGCATTTCCCATTCCTGAGTCAGGCTGTTCCTCTCCCCTCTGCTGAGTCATCGGCCTGAGAGCTGGGTCGTTTGGGATTGGGCGCCACTCTCTCAAAGGGGAATCCGCGAGCATAAGGACCGACTCCCCGACCAAAACACCCCACAGGCCTGTGGGACCCAAAAACCCCTCCTCCCTCACACCTGGAGCCAGGCTCCTACCCTGGTCCCCCTCGCCCTACCCCCACCCCCAGGCCAAGCCTCAGGCGTCCAGGCCGTGGGGAAGTTCACGGCTGGACTCCTCCCTACTCTCCACCTCTCCACGTAGCCAGCGGGAAAACCCGCGGCCCCGGCGGCAGCTGGGAATCCCCTCTGGAATGACGGTGGGGAAGGGGATGGCCGGGGTCCACTGCGGGACGTTGGGGCCAGATCCTGGGCGGGCGAGGTGGGGGGGAGAAGGAAAGGGGCGGAAACCAGAGAAGCTAAAAATACAGCTAGCACTTCCGGCCTAGGGGGAGGGGAACAGAGAGCAGAGTTTCCAGAAAAACAAGCGGGGACGGGAAACGCGGGGGTGTGAGAGCCGGTGTGAGTGCGCGGGCGAGCAGGGGGCCGTGTACTCGCTGCACGTGTGCCTGGGCCGTGTGTGCGCCTGGCGTGATTGCCTGGTCTCGAGCGGGTGTGGCCGCGGGCAGGACTGGCCTAAGTGCCAGTAGGCCTGCAACTGCGCGGGGCAGCCTGGGTGTGTGCTGGGTTGTGTGAACAGTGTGCACCTTAGTATTTGGAGGTGTGCTATCCAGCGAGCCTGGATATGTAACTAGGGAGTAGGTGTGGGCCACAGGTGTGCTTAGTTTCCTGTGAGGGCTGTGTGCATACACTCTCACATGACATGGCTATGTGAGTAACGTATGAAACCAACCTGTGTCTATGTAATTGACTACCATGTGTGCTTTAGCCATCTCAGTGTGGGGTGGACACTCAACTGTAACTGTACAGTACTTGTCTTTGAGGTGGCATTCATGAGAACGAGTGACTTCCATGGCTGGTAGGGTGGCTTACTCACGACTGTAATCCTAGCACTCTGGGAGACCCAGGCAGGTGGATTGCTTGAGCTCACAAGTTCTAGACCAACCTGAGCAAAAGCCAGACCCCGTCTCTACTAAAAATAGAAAAAACTGAGGCAAAGGGGTCGCTTCAGCCCACTTGAGCCTGAAGAGTTGGGAGGTTGCTGTGAGCTATGACTCCATGACACTCTACCCAGGGCCACAGCTTGAGACTGACTTCTTTTTTTTTTTTTTTTTTTGCAGTTTTTGGCCAGGGCTGGGTTTGAACCTGCCACCTCCAGCATATAGGAACTGGGCCCTACTCCTTTGAGCCACAGGCACTGCCCCAAGACTGTCTTAAAAAACAAAAACACTTGACTTGGCTGGGCACCTGTAGCTCAGCAGCTAGGGCTGGTGGGTTTGAACCCGGCTCAGGCCTGCCAAACAACAAAGACAACTACAAAAAAAAAAAAAGCCAGGTGTTGTGGCAGGCACGTGTACTCCCAGCTACGGGGAGGCTGAGGCAAGAGAATCGCTTAAGCCCAAGAGTTTGAGGTTGCTGTGAGCTGTCATGCCACAGCACTCTGCTGAGGGCGACATAGTGAGACTGTCTTGAAAATAAACAAAACATAGGACTTCCCATCTGTGTGTAGCTCTGAACCACTGTGGGATCTGGAGTGACTATGTGTAACTCCTTGCAGGTGCCTGAGTGAGGGAACAGCAGTGCTCACTCCTGTGACTAAGGGTCTGTGCACACACAACTTTGAAGCTAAATGTCAGCATGTGTGTGACTACATAGCTGTGGCTGTGTGGAAGGGCGTTATGTCTCTGTGTAGTCCTCAGGTGGGTGAATGGGGTTCACAGTCTGTGCCTTTAGTTGTGGGTGTCTGAATTGCGTGTGCATGAGAAGTGGGTTGATCAGCGTCTGGATGTGGTTCCTCTGTCCCAGCCATGCAAGGCAGTGAAACTGATGAACTTTAGTTCCTGACGTCTGCAGCCCTAGTGATGGGGAGGATGGCTGGCCAGCTTCTCCAGCCATGTCTCTGTTCTGCAAGCCTGTGAACAGAGCACACACCCTCACCTGAGAAACTGAGACTCAGCCTTATCTATCCCCAGCCGATGAGGCTGCCTCTGATAGTGATGGGCTGAGTCAGCCTGTGATGGGCAAAGTCTGCGATGGCGTGAGAGATAGTGGGTTAAGTGGTGGTTAGAGGGTTGTTTGTGTATTCACACGGTTGGCTTCTTTCCCTCAAGTCTGTTTGTGGGACTGTCAAAGGGCCCTGGGTGCAGAGGTGGAAGGGGCACGGTGGTACAATGGTGGGTTATGCTAGTCTCTGCTATTCAAGGGGTATGGTGTGTTTGTGTGCCCCCATGGTCTGTTTTGTGATGGCTGTGAATCTTATCTACAGCCCCTCCCTGGAGTGTGGCTGTGCACTAGACTGTATAATCTCTCCCTGGGTCTAATAATCTAGCAAAGCCAAGTCCTCACCAAGGCCCTCGATGACCTGTCTGGACTTTGTCTCCTAATCCCAAGCCTCCTGTTCCCTAAAAAACAACAGTACATTCCTGCCTCAGGGCCTTGGCAGTTGCTACACCCTCTGTCATGATTTACTCCCTCTCCTTCAAATCTGCATTGATACCACCTTCTCAGTGAGGCCTTCCTTGAGGAGGCCTGATAAGACTTAAACATTAAAAAAGGGCAGTGCCTGTGGCTCAAAGGGGTAGGGCACTGGCCCCATATGCCAGAGGTGGCGGGTTCAAACTCAGCCCCGGCCAAAAAAATAAATAAATAAATAAAAATAAACATTAAAAAAACTTATCTAACATTAGTAAATACATGTAACATGTACAGACCATACTGAACGCTCATTAACCCACTGTCCAACATTGTCTTTGAACTATTAATGTTTTTCATTTTATTTATTTATTTTTGGAGACAGTGTCACTTTGGCGCCCTTGGTAGAGTGCCATGGCATCATAGCTCATAGCAACCTCAAATTCCTGGGCTCAAGAGATCCTTTTGCCTAAGCCTCCTGAGTAGCTGGGACTACAGGTGCCTGCCCCAATGCCTCAATTATTTTTTAGGGACGGGGGAAGGGGTCTCACTCTGGCTCAGGCTGGTCTCAACTCCTGAGCTCAGGCAATCCACCTGCCTCTGCCTCCCAGAGTGTTGGGATTACAGGCGTGAGCCACCAGCCCTGTTAATGTTTTTTAATAGAGTTAACTTAATTCTCTATGTGCAAATTTTGTATTTCTTATGTTAGATTTATTACTAAGTCCCCCCCTTTTTTTTAGACAGAATCTCACTATGTCGCCCTCAGTAGAGCTATG